TCCCCACGTCACTCTCATCACGACGCGCACTCGTACAGGATCTCTCTTTGCATCTCTCTGCAGCCCTCTCTAGCAGCTCACGCGCATTCACCCCCTCATTCCAGCCACTCGCATGCACAGATAGTCAGTCGGACCCCACACCAACCTGATGGAGGGTCCATGTGACGATTTTCTTTATCGTCGCCTTGCCCCATTTGCTCTTCTTGGGGAGCCCGCACGTCCTCAGCACGATCTCCTTCTCGTCCTTGCTCCACGTCCGTGCCTTGAGGGCCTGTGCCGCCAGGTCCTCCACGTCGCGCACGTTGGGGAGCTCGTTGACGGGCACCTTGAATCGGAGTGCCTCCTCCACTGTCTTGACCTTGGTCTCGATCAGCGGATCGTCATCGGCAGCATCCAGGTCGGCAAAGAGCGCTGCTGCTGCCCCATCTGCCGCCTTGCGCTTGCGTGGGGACTCCATTGGCTGGTCGCCGTCCTGGTCTGACGTGAGCTCCTCAAACAGTCCGGGTGCGATGCGGGGAGAGGGTGAGGGGTGGCGGGAAGGGCGATAGGAAAATGGCGCAGGCTGGCGGGATGCTCTCTCCCTCCGCAGCTCCGCCATCAGCCTCTCCTGGGAAGCGATGAAGGCCTCGAACTCTTCCCTGCCCACTACGCCGGCCGATGCCGCTGCCCTCGCACCGACGTAGCCGCTGGACGTGGATGGGGCGGCGTGCGATGGTGCCTGGTTGGCGTTGCGGTTCTGCTGCTGCACCATCTGTGTGAGCTCGTCCAGTTGGGCCTTGAAGGGCGCTAGCGCCGCCTGCTGCTCGGCCTTCTTCTTCTCCTCTAGGTGCCGCCTGACAGCTTCCCGCGCCTCATCATAGCCGATGCGCGGGTCGCCGGGCTCCTGTGGTATGAAGACATTGATGTCAGACCGGCCCCTGCCGAAACCACCGCTGCCATAGCCGAACTGGGGACGCCCGAATCCGCTGCCACCACCTCCACGGGGCGGGCGGAATGCGGGTGGGTATGCAGGTGGGGGAAAGGGAGGGC